GATTTCAAACACACTGGTCGGGAATACACTGTAACCAGACAGACTATAATGTTAACCTTTCCTTGTGTTTCCAGAACATTGGTTTCTGGAAAGCCAGAAGGTTTTTGCCTGTGGAATACATATTCAGGAAATGATCGGAATGACCTAATGAGCTAATAAGGGTAATTCATTAAGGTAATTAATTTCCAGATGACATAATTACTCACACGTCACATACTTAGACATTTCCAAAAGAGGGAGAGGAGAGAGAAAGAAAAAGAGCATCTCCATCCACCCATCCTTCTGTCTGTCTCTCGCTATTTCCATCGGCCTCTAAGTGTGTGAATTGAAAACCGTCAGCTATCAGATCAGCTCGTTGTATTCCAGCCTTTGGGAAAAGCTACAATTTCCTTTGAGAATTCAATTCCATTGCTCCAAAACATCAGATAGGAAAATGCTGTGATAAATGGGGTCGTCGGCGATGGGGTTTCTGGCCATTGCCATCCTGAATACTTTTAAAGTGCATCCAACCCTGTAGTTTGACAGTAAAAGAAAATAAATTGCACATGTTTTAATTCTTCGCAATTATGTTTACAAGGCTGTTACATTATAGGACGTGAAATTGAGTTACTGTCCTCTTCCAACTGTTATTTCTTAAGCAGTGGGCATTATTTGGAATGGATTATTCCCCTAGAAAATCGTGTAGAGCAGACTTTTATATAGATATATATATATATATATATAAAACTGTCTTCTTTTTCAGTATAAAAATGCCAAGCAACGTCTTCGTTAAGCATGGTGAAGCCGGCAGTTTTAATGCTAGGAACTGTAACATTGTGAAAGTCTCCTAAATCTTATTACACCATTAGAGCAAAGCTTTGATGTGTATGATTTGGAGATTGTACAACCTTAGGCATTGAGGTGCCCCCGACGGTACAAGATGTTCAACTGTTAGAAAATGATGGCAATTCCTGACCAGATTATTAACTGGTCTAATTCTGTGTCAAAGTGATGTGTGCATTAGATGGTATCGCATCATTTGCTACGCTTGCCAATGCATATTGCCCACAAACATTAAGCCCTACCATGTATTGAAAACTGGTAATTCTTAGATGTTTTAATACTATATGGAATATCTGAATGAAGTTGATCTGTGCCATATCATATTAGAGATTCATATGGTACAAGTTTAAAGATAAATCTAGTTTAAACAAAATCACAGGATTAAACAATTGGCTATTTGGCAGATGACAACACAACACTTATTTACATTTATAGAGTGTCTTCAACGTCGGGAGGGCGTCCCAAAGCGCATATTGGTGTTCTAGTGAAATGTGCATAGTAAATAAATACTCGAATGGCATAAATCTGAATTAATGCTGGAAAATCCACATCTGAAAGGGAAGAACGGGCTAACGTTTGAGATATCATTTGTCTTCATCTGAATTGTTGTGCATTTCAAATGTTGGCCACAATTTCGCGAGTCCTTCCCCTTTTGGCCTGTCCCACCTCTTCCAAATAGGTCTAATCTTTTATTAAAGGACCGCGACACGGAACGCTGGAAGATGTGAATGAATAAGGATGATAATGTGGTCGGTTTCACATATTGCCTATTTGTATTGAGTATTTCCATCATCTTGTGATGAAAAATCGCCTCGCCTCGTGAGATTTTTGACTGTGTGATCAAGAAAGACACAGTTGTAATGAGGCTCAGTCACAAAGAGTTAAAAGGATTAGACACCTTTATTGTCTGCCTTTGATTCTGATCATTGGTTGATGTGAGGTGTTTAACACATGATTACACGCAGAAGAAAACAATTATTCTTCTGCTACTTCTAACTTGAGTTTGAAGGTCCAATAGTCACCTTCTGGGCCCTGGAATTACATCGCTTCCACACACTCACGTCATTCTGATCACTAATACATAAATACATTTCACAGCCATTGTCTATTTTCCGATGATTTTGCTTCTCAGTGTGAGTGCAAAATAGACTGATGTTGAGGATATGAAATTGATCAGAAATCTGGTGTGAAAGCGACAAGTGCATTGGGGGTATTTGTGCTTTATTGACAGTTTGATCTTTGGAAAGGGATTATTGGAGCTTTGAAGGTTATGGAGTAGAGATACACCGAATACAATTTTAAAACAAATGTACGGGATAATAGCACAGGTTGCGGCTCGTTTCTCTCTTTGACAGCGTTCCGTTCATTTTATGAAGTTCAAGACTGAAGGTCAATATAATAATGAAATAACTGATGTAGTCGATGCAGTACTTGAGATGACCCTAGCGTGACTGCCCTTCGGTATCATGGTTTTATTTATTACCTATTCTGTGTGTGGAGGGAGGAAAGGATTCTACTTATATCTCCTTTGCCTCTAGAATTTGTGTTAAGACACTTTTTTTGTTATGATTTACTTGGTGCTTTGCTAAAGTGAAGCATATTTTGCTGGGATAATCAACACAAGAGCTAGAAATAAAGTCGGGTCAAATGGGTTAACTATTGTCAATAAGACAACAAGGCACATATGAGTCTGCTTATGCATGTACCTTCCTGTATGTCATATCAGGAAAGCATCATGTCATATATTTGTACAGTATTCGAAATCTGCTAGCAAATAGGATTAGATAATAGGGGTGAGGAAGAGCAGATGTGTATAACTTCCAGATTTGGCCATCGTAGTGTATCAACTGTCTGTTCTCATCAGTGACTGATATTTGGAGTCAAATCTCATGAATTAATGAATACTTTCCTCCTGATGTTTAATATCAATTTTGTTACGTGTCATTCTTTGGCACCTGAGTACTGTGATGAGTGCTCCCTATATCTCTGCATAAAGTGATCCCTAACATCTACCCGCATGTCTTGAGCGGTAACTGTTCTCAGTAGCCCTTGGTCCCCATATATTCAGTAGTCCTTGATTCCTGGCATCTAATCCGAAGTTCCTCAACTATGAGTAAGTAGCAAGTAGCCTCTGGTACCTAACCCATCTCTTCAGTGTATAATATTTAACCCCATGTATATAGTCGTTCCTGGCATCTGTTCCTATATAAACATCTGTGACAATCAGTGGTGTCTAACCCAGTGACCTCAGCAGGAAGTTGTTTATCTAGTTCCATGTTTTCGCCTTGTATCTAATTTGTATCACGATTTGAGTTGTGACTGATCCCTGGTGTCTAATCCCAAATCTGTAGCGGTGCTTGATCCTTAGTATCTAATCCCCATGTCTGTTCTCGTCAGTGCCTGATCTTTTTGGAGTCAATTCCCATGAATTCAGCAATGCTTTCCCCCTGTTATTTAATCTCATTTTGTTACTTAAGTATCATTTTCGTCCACAAAATGCGCAGTGAATAATGCACTTTACCACGTATTCTGTGAAGCGCCTCGAGGCGTCTCAACATCGGGAATGAGGCGCTATGTAGCAAATGCACAGGTGATTTTATTTATCCCGTGGCATCTGATGCCACTTGCTATTCAGATACCGGCTCCTGGTACCTAACACTCTTTCTTCAGCATTTTAAATATTCGTTTCCTTCAGTATCCTATCCCATATCCTAAGGAGTTACTGCCCCCTGGTATCCAATTATATTACCTCGCAGGTACCATTATCTGGTACATCATCCCATTTCTTCATCAGGTACCTTCTCTCTCGCTGTCTAATCCAATTCCCCAAACAGTGACCGGTCATTTCATATTATATTCAGATTCCAGAGTAGCTGGAGAATAGACAGTGAGAATTCATGTATTCTCTCACATCTGCCCTCTCAGCGGGGAATAGTGACAGAATCAATGTGTGAGATGATTTATTGCATCCTATCCAGGTCCCTCGATAGGAGTGGGACAGGATATATGCTGTGATGCATTACATCTCTCGCCTCTTCGACAGCCAAATGAGACCAGGCATAAACTTAGTATATTAATTCCTAAAAAAAAATATATATATATTTTTATATATTAATTTTTTTTTAAAAAACACACCTCTGAAAATTGCCATTGAGGCAGCGAGCAGCCTGGTCTGGTCTCAATGTAATCTCTCACATCTCCGCCGCTGCACCAAAGCAAAACACGAGTGAACTTTCACGATCTAACGTTAATCGTTCGCATCCCCGGGTCTCTCCCACCGATCTGGAGGTGGAAGTCTCTTAAAATTCCCGTGTCTCCAAAAAGTGTTGTGTGTGTGTGTGTGATCTGATCTGATGCAATGCCTCACACCGCTGTCTGTCGGTCTGTCTGTCTGTCTGTCTGACCTCCCCCCCCCCCCCTCCCCTCCCCTCGACATCTGCAGACAGATGGAAAAAAAAGATGCTTTCGAGTCTGATGTCGCCTCTCTCGCTCATCTCCACTCGTCCCCACAGCGGCCCCAGAGGGGACAGAATCGATGCCCTCCCCCCCCCCCCCTCCCACCCCGACGATGCTTCCTCGCATCCTTAGACATCCCGTTCTCTCTCTCTCCCCTCTCTCTCTCCCCCCCTCTCTCTCTCTCTCCCTCTCTCTCAGAGGGAACCCGAGACACAGCATCCCATCTGCTGCTGGTCCATCCTTTTGATTCCTTGTCCCCCCCCCCTCCTCTCACCAGAGAGCCCTGAGCAGAGAGAGACGGGATGGGTCTGACACTCTCTGTGGATGGATGGATGGATGGGACTGATGTGGTCCCTCACTCGCATCCCCAGTCCCTATCAGACCAGGGGGATGAGAGGCGATCAATGCTGATGTTCCAGTCCCCCTCACAACCAGTCAGTCTCCTTTGCTCCCACTGTTATCCCAGACGGCGTTATCCATCCTGGTCCAATCCTACACATGCCCTTAACTCACGTGGCACAAGCTCAGCCCCAGCAGCTCCAATACCAGCAGAGAGATGATTCAGAAAAAGCCTGACTCCGCTCATCGGCACATCAATAACAAGTTTCTCTACCAAACACCCCCCCCACCCAACCCCCCCCCCTCCTCCCCACTCCCCAACCCACCCACCCACCCACCCCCATTACCCCCCTCCCTCTCTCTCTCTCTCTCTCCTCTCTCCTCTTCCTCCTCTGTCTCCCTCCCTCCCCCCAGCAACCAACCGGGCTCTAATGGAAGGCTGCTTTCTGGGATCCTAAGGCTTCTTCGCTCTCCATCCTCATGTGGTGTGGTTCGGCGCAGGATGTGTGATGTGCCCTGTGTAAGATGGTGGTGTCGGGGAGCCCAGGATTAAGCAGAGCCAGAGGGTTGCGATCGGCGAGCAGTAGTCATGGTGGAGGTCCATCAGCGATGCTGGACACTTCTTAATTACCTGAGCGTTGTGCTGTTTCCAGCGATGCTAACGTTTTCCACGCTACCTGTTAAACTCTCGGCTTTTCCTGCCTCCTTGAGTGACTGTCAAACACCCACTGGCTGGAACTGCTCCGGTAAGCCACAGCAACAAATAACACCAGGCGCTGGCTAGTGAGGGCAAGGCAGGGCAATGCAAGGCAAGGCAATGCAAGGCAGGGTAATGCAAGGCAAGGCAATGCAAGGCAGGGTAATGCAATGCAAGGCAGGGTAATGCAAGGCAAGGCAATGCAAGGCAGGGTAATGCAATGCAAGGCAGGGTAATGCAAGGCAAGGTAATGCAAGGCAGGGTAATGCAAGGCAAGGTAATGCAAGGCAGGGTAATGCAATGCAAGGCAGGGTAAGGCAATGCAAGGCAGGGTAAGGCAATGCAAGGCAGGGTAAGGCAATGCAAGGCAGGGCAATGCAAGGCAGGGTAATGCAAGACAGGGCAATGCAAGGCAGGGCAATGCAAAGCAATGCAGGGCAAGGCAAGGCAGGGGAGGGCAGGGGTTGGGAGCGAGCTCTTACAATTTGAAGTCACAGTCGCCAACTGAATATCTGTGCTTGTGATAAAAGTTACTCTGCCGTGGGTTTGCTCGGGTAACGTTGTGCGATGCTGCAGTCAGCGATCACCGTGAGCCACAGAGCCACGACTCGGGGTTGGCGTTCTCGCTCTGTCCCTCTCAGTTTTCTCTCTGGAAAGTGTGCAATGCTTTTTTTTTAAAAAACTTTCAGACGCACCTTTCGGGCTCAAAACACATCGTCCCTTTTTCTCGTGTGTTATTTTAGTGACAGGTGCGATTCTACGAGGAGCGAAGACGGGCTGTCGTTCCCCACGTTTTGCAACAGACGTGGTTTTCTGTCTAAAGATTTCAGCCCTTTTTTTCAACAAAAAAAAAGAGGCTTTCGGGGTTTAAAACAGATCGCTGGTTTTTGTTTTCGTGCACGATGTTGCATCGGGAGGAGGGGAATCGTTGGTGGGGGGCGATGGAGGGGTTGGGTGGGTGGGTGGGGAGGGAGGGAGGGAGGGAGGGAGAGAGGGAGGAAGGGGGAGATTATGATTCTGTTTTAAACCATTTAAGAGAGAAGTCGGGCTATTGCAGTTCTCAGCAAAACCCCTTTGCGCCCACGACTCTGAAAGCTGCTGCAATGCAAATAAGAATGTTTTCCAGTTTATAGTTATGTCGCAATTTAACACACACACTAACTAACACACACACACACACACACACACTAACACACATACACACACTAACACACATACACACACACACTAACACACACACACACTAACACACAGACACACTAACACACATATTAATACACATACACACACACACACTAACACACACACACACACTTAACACACACACCACACACACAACTCATGCGAAACAGAAGCGAAGGCTCTGTCAGGAGCTCTTCGCTGTGGGTTTGGACTTTGACTAACCCCATCCTCAGTGCACAGACACGAGTCATCAATCTTCCTTTTTTTTTAAAAAAAACACATACACACAAATACACACACACTCGAGCCAACGCCAACATATAACGTGGTTTTATCTCTGCCACAACTTCCTCGTGTAACCTCCTGGGTCTCGGGGTCAGTCTCGCCGTTTGGCGCAGATAAGTGGAGAAAATCGTGTTGCAGGAGAGGAAAAACGCGAGAGGGATGGAGGAAGGTGGGAGGTGGGGTGGGGGAGAGAGAGAGAGAGAGAGAGAGAAAGAAAGAAAAGAGAGAAAGAAAAGAGAGAGAGAGAGAGAGAGAGAAAAAAACTGCACGGATGGAGGAGGTTAGCTGTGGATTGGGCATTTGGCGTTGTGTCTCTCTCTCTTCTGAATCAAAATGCACTGTGAGTGTGAGTGAGTGAGTGAGTGGGAATTCCTGCGCTGGTTCAGCATCATTCGGAATTATTTCTTTCAAAGACCCCAACAAAATAAAATCCGCTGGTCTCCCGGAGCTGCATCTCTGTAACTGCCGAGTTAGCGACCCCCCAACCTGCCCAGAGCCTCTGAGAAAGCAGAGAGAGAGACAGAGAGAGAGACAGACAGAGACAGACACACACACACACACACACACACAGATAACCCTTTTCATTTAATCGACTTTTGAGTATGTGATATCCGACCAGTCTCGTTTGCCAAAACCATTGCATTAATATTTTACACCCACTAAGTTCTGCAAGTACTTTTCCTCTTTCCCCCACCCACCCCCTCCCCCTCCCCCTCCCCATCCCCATCCCCATCCCTCCCCCTCATCTCCTCGATACGTCTCAAGGTTTTGATGACAGGGAACACGACTTGTTCCTCTGCGACACGAATACGTGTCAGTTTGGAGGGGAATGTTTGCGGATCGGACAGACTATAACCTGCGACTGTCAATTCAAGGTAAGGTGGTGGTCGGGGGTGTGTGTGTGTGGGGTGTGTGTGTGTGGGGGGGGCGGTGTGGGTGGGTGATGGGGATGATGGAGAGAGAGAGAGAGAGGAGGGAAGGGAGACATCGCTGCTTTAACTGAGCTCCACTTTGCCTGAGCGCTGTGGGTCCGACTGTCCTTTGCGGTGGGGCGATGCGGTGCAGTGCATTGCAGGAAGCAATGCTGGTGGGGTGGGTGTGGGTGTGGGTGGGTGTGTGGGTGTGTGGGGGGATCTGTTTGACAGGACCCTCCTCACTCACCAGTTATTGTATGCCTTCTGTCCCCCCCCCCCCCCCCACCCCCACCCCGAACCCCCCACTCAGTGCAACACAGACTATGTGCCGATGTGCGGCTCCAACGGGAACACCTACGAGAATGAGTGTTACCTGCGCCAGGCCGCCTGCAAACAGCAGAGTGAGATCAAGCTGCTGGGAGAGGGCTCCTGCACTCACGGTAATGGGCGCTCTCTGGACCCCGCACCCGGTGATGCCGCGCAGATTTTCAACGCCTTTTGCATTTTGAAATTTTTAATTTTTTTTTTAATTGGAAGGTGTCCCCTTCGAAATCAAATGGGGCCCCAATCAACCACCCGACCACCACCCAACCACCCACCCACCACCCAACCCCACACATCATACACATCACACACATCACACACACATCATACACATCACACACACATCATACACACACACACACACATCATACACATCACACACATCACACACATCACATCATACACATCACATCATACACATCACACACACACATCACACACACACCCCAAAAGCAAGTGTGCAAAGATGCATCCAGTGAGATGCTCCCAAGCCCAAGCCCAAGCCTGATCCCTGGGGGAATTTGCTGCCCTCTACTCTTCCCCCTCTTCTCAGAGCCCCACTCACTCGCACGTTATCACGTTCCGCAGCTGTAATTGAAACGTATTGAACCGAAATGGGAGCGAACCACTGTCCCTCCCCACCACCCAATCTGGTCAGGGCATTTAAAGTCCCAGGTTCGCTCGTTTTGCCATATAAATCCTTTTTTTTTCTTCTTCTTTTTGTTGTCGTTGTTTGAAATCGTCTCGATTTTCTTACAAGAGAAACCAGAGACTTTGATTTTGATGATGGATTAGATCCAGTGCTGAAAGGAGCAAGAAATCTTATCAAAAACACATTAACCGGGTACTAATACGCTTTCTAATGAGATATTGTCTCTCTACAGATATGGGATCAGGTTCTGGGGATGGAGGTAAGTACATATTGCAAATGTATTTCTAATCTAATCATTGCGGTTATCGCCTTGCCATTTCATCTGCAAATCACGCATTTTAGGATCTATGCCCCTCGAGGGTTTGTTTTGTTAAAGTCCAAGATTTTTCTTTTTATTTCGCTGTAAGATTGATTCATTCGCTGTCTGTCAGCCACCGAGAGCTGTGGTGTGGCTCACGGACTTCTCTCTCTCTCCGGTCAGTGTCGCTTTCATTGTTAGCTGGCCTCCTGGGTCCTTACAGTGAAGGTAGCCCGGTCCATCTACACCACCCACCCCATTGCCATGCCAGGTCCTGAGTAATAATAATAATAACAATCCTTGCATTTGGTGTAGCGCTTTATCACATCTTCACAACGTCTCAAACCGCTTCACAGGATATACTGTAAAGTGAATTGACTGTATATTTTTGGGCGAAATGCAGTAGCATGCCCCCTGCCAAATAACGCACAGATCCACCCTCATAAATTTAAGCCACATTCCTGGGGTGTTAACCCTGAGAACTCCCAGATGGGAGGGAGGCTTTGTACCACATGTGCTGTGCTACTGGACTGTCCAGAGATGCACTTTAGATTAAAACAAACAGGTGAAATATCAGGAAAAAATCAAGGGGTGGAGGTTTCGTGTGGAGTATAAACACAGGCATCCACTAGTTTGGCCGAATGGCCTGTTTCCATGCGGTATCATTCCATGTCATTCAGCACTCACTGAAAATACAGTCATCAGGGTGTGAAATTCAGCAGTACACAGAGTATAGTTTCACAAAAGAACCCAGTGTGTAATGTGGCCAACAAAAATTTGAGGCCACGATTGAATTATGTCTGAAGATGCTAATGTGAGAAATAAGGGCTGGAGGTTGAAATTCTGAGACTATGAAGTGAAATGATGCTAGCCACTACCCACTTCCTATTATTTTAAGTGAACTGAAGCAATCTATATTAAGGGTTTGTGTTGCAGTATTCATACGCATTCAATTATAATAGACACCAGCCTACACTTGTACACTCTTCAAAGTACTGCAATCTTAGAAGCCGAAAGCATCCTTGGGTGTTTTTCAAGTCAAAGCGCTAATAAGAAATGAGCATCTAATGCAGAGAGATCATGGGCGGTTGATGTCTTTTGGACAAATGTGAAATGGATCTCAAAGTTCAAGTATGAAAGTACATACTGAAACATGTCTACAGCCAATTACTTATTTTTGTTATCACAGAAAAGGTCAATGAAGACCTCTCAACATTTGTCCAGTTATTCTTAGATACAACACAGCCTGCATTTATCTCTTGTCAAAATCTAGTGCAGATCAAACATAACAGAGGTCTGTAACTTTGAATATGCAAACGTGAAATGTTTACAATCACTGAGAAAACAGCAAACGAGCATTTAGGAGTAACATACATCAATGCAACTGATACCAAGTGATTCATTTCCTTATTAGTTATTCCTGTAATTGTATTCATTACAAGATTAGTGATCAGGAAGCTCATCAGTCCAGTCTGGCTTTAATATATACTACATCATTATGACCACTTATCATAAAAGTCTGCCTTTCTTGTTGGGAGGGGGGGGAAAACGGATGTTAATTTCCACATAGATTACATAATTATTTGCACAGATGATAAATTTGTTAATTTAATATAGTTTGTTTATGATTCTACTTAAAGAGCTTTTGGTTTCATTTAAATTTAATCCATGTGGCTATTTATTTCAAAACTTTATTTCCGGATACATATTGGCATGTTTATGATGGTTTAAATATAGCGATGATTTTGAATGTACAAGCTTGTATTTTGAGGATGCAAAAGCATCTCATTTTCACCAGCCAGGTGTTTAAATTCATTCAAGTATAAAGTAAACAGGTGCTGGAAAACTTGAAAGGAAATATTTAAAATTAACTTATTTAAAGTTTCTGTAGATATGCAAAGCTTATGTTTTGAATGCTGAGACTATCTGGCACTGATAAAGTACAATTATGCACAGAATATAACAGTTTAATTCGCTGAAGACAGTAAATTTAGTCTGATGTAGTATGCAAGCTATTCCATTGGTGCAGAGAAAGTCCCGTTAACAACTTATGGTTGTGGTAAATTTAAATGCAATAAAGTGGCGAAGGAATCTATTAATAATAATAATGATAATCTGCAGTTAATGACATTTTTATGTTTAGTGTAGCAATCACATTAAATATTAATGCATAAAATTCACACAAAATACAGTGCCTCTTATGACTGTAGATGGCACTGTTTGAGAAAAGCTATTATTCAGCACAAACTGGAAATGTTACACATTTGTTCAAAAAATCGTGGACGTTTTGTATTAAATATAACTGGCTATCAAATTTTGTTCAAAATTAAATGAACTCAATTTGGAATGAAGTTCGAGTGTTCTAGCAATTTTTTTCAATGAAATTTCATTTTCGTTTCCGTCTTAATCCCCAAAACGTATTGGTTAATAATTCCGTTTCATACGAACCAAGTGTGTTACAACACGCCAGTGTTATGTAGATTAAAAAGAAAAGTTTTAATTTATCAGCATGAAAGGCAACAGATCAAAGGCAAAGGCATAGGAATCCAAGAGAATGTAGCCGGCAATGGATAAGGCAACACTGCGCAGTGTTCAATAATGGGTACATCACAACAAAGGATATATGCAGCTCACAAATTGTATACACTTCATAAGTGCATGTGACGATAAGACAACAAGAAAAAACAATTGCAGTGGCTTCCACAATGGCACCGAATGGCACTACGCACTGCAGAACAGAAATTTATAGGTTTAATTCCCCGTTTGAATTGAGTTAGCTGATGTTAGCAAGGGCAACGAGCCCCTGGTGTGGAGTGGGAGAGAAAATCAGCGCCTCTTCTGATTGTTATTCAGCGACCCCTGCTGGAAAGTGCTCAAATTTGTATAGGATTATGTTGAGTTGCATTGCCCTCCACTGCATGCGATAAAATAAGGCTTAAACATGAAAAAATGATCAAAAAAAAAGTTGAACTGTAGCCCCACAAGACGAGGTGAAGAGTGAAAATTAAAACAAATATCAGGTTTGTGGCAACAATTAGTCTTTACAGAATATTCAAATAAAAGTCAATCTTTGAAAATTCGTTTGAGTTATCAATGAAATTTTCTCACTCTTTGGTCATATTTTTCGTGAACCTCCATAACTTGTCTTTCCTCTCCTTCCTGTTCTCTACTTTCTCTGTGAAGCTCTTTAAAACATTCGTCCTATGCGAAAGGCACTTTATTAGTGCAAGTTGTTGTTGTATACTTTCGTTAGAATTACCTCATTGCATTTTCAACAGATAGTGTTTGGTGGTGATGGGGAGGGAGGGGATAAAGGAGGAAAGGAGAACTGTGGGCCTCTGTTTGGATGGGTTGGGGGGGGTGAAAAAACTGTGATGGTTCAAAGCTGCTCATCATCTTTCACGAGTTCTGTAACTTCTGGTTGTCAATCATATCGCTTTGCCTCTGGTTAAATATATCCCTGTGTTTGGGGGGATGGTTAAATATATGCCTACTCACACGTACATGCGCAATGATTATATCATTAAAGTGTGTTATTTTCTATGTCACTGGTGCAGATTATAATTCTTGGATAGCTTTGAATGTAGCATTAAGGATAGATTAATTTTGCTCAAACTGAAGGATGGTAGAACAAGTGAACATGAGATATTGCAAGTATTAACTCTCCTTGTGTGTGATTATCTGACTAGCGTTGCGCTCTGAATTTTATCCATTTTTTGGAAAAGAAAAGGAAGGAGGAATTGTTTTGAGGATTGGTTGGAGTGCTGTACACTTCCTTGGTCAACATGGTTAAAAAGCTGGCTGACCACATGTATTGCTATAGACACTTTATTATAGATATCATTTCAATGTGGCTGGGAATGACTAAGAAGAATCAAACACTCAGACATTTGAATTGTGGGAATCTCAAGGGGAAACTTATTGACAGAGAGTGAAGAGTGCAGGAAGCAGCTGATACTCATTGCAAATAACCATATGTTTCAACATTATCATTAGCCAGCAGGAAGTTAGTTTAGCACTAGAAGAGCATCCAGTTAATAACTACACAAATAAAGATTTTCTAAGTTCAAGGCATGTCTTTGTGAGAAAGTGTTTGGGAAACAGTACTTTTGAAGGATGGTTGAGGCCAGAATCCTGGACTCATTTAACAAACAGCTCCATGCCGTAATGAGAGGAAGATGGGGAGGGTAATCTGGAAGAATGAGATCAAATAGGCCGAAAAGGCCTTATTCAATTGAACCGATCTTGTGCCCTTGTCTAGAGGGTAGATCAAGCAGAGACCAGCTGCTAACTGATTGAATTAAATAGTATAATTGCTACGGTTTATATTCAAATCAGATCAGTATTTATTTGGATAGATATTAATCCATTCACTTAAGTGCACATGTTCAGGCTCAGGCCAGGAAATGTGTGTTTGCAGATGAATGATAGAGTGGAGTCAAACTTTGTCCCATTTCCTCGCCATTTGGACCTTACGTTTATCTTGCAAAAGTCTTTGTAGTAGGCAGCTTTGATTTTATAGCTGACAAGTTTGTGATTGCCAAGACCTGTCTGTAGACACTGGTACTCAAAATGCTTGCATGTACATATGATTATCATAATTTTCTTCTGCTTTAAGCCAAATAGTTAAGCAAAGAAATAAACTACTTCCACGACATTCCAGTGTCACCCCCTGCAAAGAAAACAGGCTTAAATTGCATTTCAAAATGATTCACACTGAGTTTCTCCTTTAAATTACATCCAATTGGAGTGAAAATATGTTACCCTGTGTATAGCTATTGCCAGTAAAAAAAAGAGTCCAATGTATTCCTGAAAGCTTTTGAAACTCCAGATACATATAACAGCAGAATTGAGATGCCTGATCCTTCAGTTATTGTGTAACATTTACGCCATCTTCAGCCTGTGGAAACAAACACCTTTGTTTTATCCTACGCAGAATGTGGGCAAGGTTAGTGAGGAAG